AATTTAATTGATAAAAAAATCCTTTTCTCCCCTTTCTATTTTTCTCCATTTTGTTAAGGTGTTGTATTCGGCCTATCTTTCATACATTTTAAGATTAATTGTTTTTTAAGTGATTTTAAAGGGCGTACTTTTCAAATCTACCTTATGTATTTAAGAATTTTTTTTTAATTGTTAGACCCAAGATTTAAACCCTCAATTAATTTTAAGTTAAATTCGAGTAAAATTCATTAATTCAATTTTTATATAATATCAAATTTTAGACTTTTTTTTATAAAAAAAAAAAAGTGATAACAGCAACATTATTAAACAGGCTCTTATTATGTACCAAAAAAAGAAAAAACAGGCTCTTATGATTTATATATCTCTTGGTAAGAATATTGAAAAGGAAAGATGCAAATTGTCTCCTTGGTCTTGGATTAGACCGGCCCATATTACACTTAATCGACTGTTGGCTTTTTTAATTTTAAAAAAATTTTAAATAGTGAATTTTGAAAAGTTTTTATTTTTTATTTTTTACTCACTTCTTACTCATTTTTTTATTATTTTAAAAACAATTTTTAAATTTTCTCTCCAATAAAAATTTAAACTTATGACTCGCAAACAATACTGTTTACACCATAAATTGTAAAAATTTAGGATCACGCAACGTGTCAACAAATTTTTTAAATGGACGGAGGAGATTAAGTCATGTCAGATTCGTGATTCTGAGCCTCATGACAGATCAGCTGTCATTTTGGTAAAAAATAGGAGATAAAGATGAGATTTTATTGTGTAAATTATTTCTTTGAGGTAAAAAGAAATTGTTTGAGCTAAAATATAAGAGAGGATTGCAGTTAAAGAGGGGTTTTATTTGATAAGGGCACAGGTGGCAAAAATTTGAAAGGAGATAAGACTAAGTCAATAGGTGAGCTGTCTCACTATTTCAAGAAACTACCCACAACTTTGTAACTGTAGAAAGTGGGGGGTTATTGCCGGCCAAAGGAGAACAAAAAGGAAATTTTGGAAGGGAGAAGATACAGTTAGCCCTACTCAAACATCTGCAAAATTTCAGACTTTTATTTTCTTTGCAAATTGCTTCCAAAATTTGGATTTCAGCACAAATCCCGGTAGATTTAAGTTGTTTTTCATCATTCCAATAGGTAAATTAATTCATGTATTCAGTTCAACAATTTCCTTTCATGCAATGAACTTCAATCTTTCAAGTTTATGCAAGGTATTGTTCTCTTTCTATTTGCAATTAATTTAATTTTTATGATAAGTAGCATTTTATTCAATGATTACTTATGTGGTGTTCACACTTCTTTTCAACTTCAAGCATGTTAGTTTAATCACTATTTACGTCAATTTTAATGTTAATTAGGGTAGAATCTTTAATTCTGCAGCATTTTAATTTTCAGATCTGTAAGTAAATAGCATTAAATTTAACAATGAACATGTTTAATTTAATTTGGGTATATTTTATTCTCGTAAATTTATTTTAAATTGCAAGTTATTTAGTTCAGTTAAGATTTGTTAATTTTTAGTCACAGTAGTGTTTAAGTTCTTGGAGTTATCTAAAACAAATTTCGTAACCCATTATGTAGGAAGGTATTCCTCCCTCTTGCAAATCATCTATAGACGCAGATTTCAATTTTAATCCAACGTTCTTCCCGGCATCTGCAAAGAGGTCGATCGTGAAGAATGAGAGGGTTATTGGGAATGTCATTCTTTTTTACTTTCAACAAAATAAGTGGTACGCCCGCATTTAAATTTCACACGTGCGAGGCCATTAGAGGATTTTTGAGAAACAAGTACTAAAAAAAATAAAAACTCTAAACAACTCCACTAAACATGTCCTTATTCTCCGTTAACGTTAACGTTAGTGACCTCCGCTAATTAACCGCCTGAT